GTGAGAATTTAATTTCTGTTGTATTAGCCATCAAGATTGTAATAACACGGCAATCTCAGGAAACTAATAACTCCGTAATTTCTCCTTGCTTATCAATCAGTGGTACCCATTCTCTTTAATACTCAAGCTAAAACTGGAGATGATTTTCAGCTTTTTGTTTCCATCCTATCTTACAGCTCAGAGTTTTTCAACTAAGAGTCACGGCCCATGTATTAGTAGATCATAAAATCTTTAGTGGATACATATACAAAATAAATGAAAGCAGGCCTCAAAGAGAGGTTTGAACACCCATGTTCATAGCAGCACTATTCACAATAGGTAAAGCATGAAGCCATCCAAGTGCCTAACAACAGCTAAGTAGAGAAGCAACGGGTGGTGGACACATTCAAGGACATATTATTTAGCCATAAAAAAAGGAAACTCTGGATAGTGTCTGTGGCTCAGTGAGTAGGGCACCAGCCCCATATACCAAAGGTGGTGGGTTCAAACCTGGCCCCAGCCAAACTGCAACAAAAAATAGCCAGGCGTTGTGGCGGGTGCCTGTAGTCCCAGCTACTCACGAGGCTGAGGTAAGAGAATCTCCTAAGCCCAAGAGGTGGAGGTTGCTGTGAGCTGTGACACCACAGCACTCTACCAAAGGCAACAAAATGAGACTCTGTCTCTAAAAAAAAATTAAAAAAAGAAAAGGAAACTCTAACATATGTTACAACGTGGATGAACCTTAAAGACACCATGCTGAGTGAAGTAAGCCAGCCACAGAAAGACAAATACTGCATGATTTCAGTTATATAAGGTTGTTAGAGTAGTCAAAATCATAGAGATGGAAAGGAAAAGAATGGTTGCCATGGGGTTGGGAAAGATGGAGAAACAGAGAATTATTGTCTAATCAGATAATTTCCATTTTACAAGATGAAAAGAATTCTGGAGATGGACAGTGGTGATGGTCACACACTAGGAATGTATTTAACACCACTAAATTGTATACTTTATTTTTTTTTTTTTCTGAGACAGAGTCTTACTTTGTCACCCCAGAAGAGTGCTGTGATGTCATAGCTCACAGCAACCTCAAACTCTTGGGCTCAAGTGATCCTCTTGCCTCAGCCTCCCAAGTAGCTGGGACTACAGGCCCCTGCCACTGTGCCAGCTGTTTTTAGAAGCAAGGTCTCACTCTTCTCAGGCTGGTCTCAAATTCCTGAGCACAAACAATCCACCTGCCTTGGCCTCCCAGAGTGCTAGGAGTACAGGAGTAAACCACTGTGCCTGCCCAGTGGGCCAGGAGTGAACCACTGTGCCTGCCCAGTGGGCCAGGAGTGAACCACTGTGCCTCCCCAGTTTGGGCCAGCCCAAACTGTACACTTTAAGTGGTTATAGTGTAGGCCGGGCTTGGTGGCTCACACAGGTAATCCTAGCACTCTGGGAAGCTGAGGAGGGTTGATTGCTTGAGCTCATGAGTTGAAAACCAGCCTGAGCATGGGTGAGACCCTATCTCTGAAAATAGCCTGGCATTGTGGTGGGTGCCTGGAGTCCCAACTACTTGGGAGGCTGACGCAAAAGGATCACTTGAGCCCAAGAGTTTGAGGTTGCTGTGAGCTATGACACTACAGCACTCTACTGAGCCAACAAAGTGAGACTCAATCTCAAAAAAAATTAAAATAATAAATATATGGCACACCTCTTGGGGGTGGGACACACTTATAACAGGGACTTTACCTAACAAATGCAGTCAGTGCAACCAAATTCTTTGTACTTTCAATGAATCCCAAACAATAAAAATAAACAAATAAATAAATAGTTATGATGGTCCATTCCACATGATGTGTATTTTGCCACAATTTTTAAAAAGTCTTTAGTGAGTCATCATCATTACGTTTATTCTGATTGTATCATGAATAAATATGTCCTGGTTTATGAACTAAACTCTGGGCGTCGGTCTGAAATCTTGAAACAAACTACTTTCAGTATCCCCAAGCCAATTATCAGTTTCCCCTTTTTCAATATGCACTTGCAGGACTTTTCTCTCGTTAGCCCTTCTAAGAAGCAAAGGAACGCGCTGAATCGGATCACCACGGATTTGAAGATCAGTTCCATCACTAACTTTGTGATCTGGATGTCTGTGAACATGTTTCCTCAAAACGAAGGCAATAATACTCTCTTCATAATGTTGCTGTGAAGGTTAACTAAGATAATATATGTGAAGTGTTTGGTTCAATGCCTGAACATAAAAATTGTTCAAGAAAAAGTATGCCCAGTGATTATGTCTATGCCCTAAATCCGGGGCATAGCAGTAGCCTTCTAACTAATCTAACTTCCTGTCTCATCTCTCCCATCAATCCCGCCCACAACAGTTTAATCTTCCTTTTATCAATACCCTACTGTGATTGACCGTTGCTCATAGAGGGACATCATACTTTGAAGCACTCCATCACGCGGTCACACGTAGAGCACGGTCATTGCTCTATCTGCTGGTGCTGCTGAGTAACTCAGCCTGCCACACAGACTCAGCCCCATCTTGCCATGTTTTCTCATGATATTTCCTTATCCCCTTTCCTTTCACCTATTAAATAACAGGCATTCTTCAAAGTTTAGCAAAAGTCTCCATTCATCTAGGAAACTTTTCTAGCCATTGGAAATAATATTAGTGCCCCCATTAAAAAATAATTTCATGACCAAGGGAAAAGATCATGCTTTCTGAAGTCAGACTCTCCTAGGCTGGAATCCCAGCTCTGCTCCTTAACAGCTGGTCGGGCTCCCTAACCTCACTGTCTTCATTTGTATAAAGAAGATAATGACACATAAGTGGAATGACACAGAAGGTGGGATTATTTTATGATCTATTTCATCACACTAGCACCAGAGTGACCTTGAAAACTTGCTTATGACACTATCTTTTTCTTTTTTTATTAAATCATAGCAGTGTACATTAATACTATCATGGGGTACAGTGTACTGTTTCTGTATACAATTTGAAATACTTTCATCCAACTGGTTAACATAGCCTTCATGTCTTTTTCTTAGTTATTGTGTTAAGACATTTATATTCTACATTTAGAGAGATTCACATGTACCCTTATAGGATGAACCATAGGCGTGATCCCACCAATCACCCTCCCTCCACCAACCCTCCCCGTCCCACACTATCTTCAATGTCTTACATTACAGTGAGGAAATGTACCTCACACAAGCTGCCACTCTCACATCTGAGCAGCCGCCACTAATTACTCCCAATACTCCAGCCCCAGACACAGCCTCAGAACCCCTCTCAATATATTATATCAAATGCTCAGTACAAATAGCTGAAAATTAGCACTTGGTATAAGCAAGCCCTAGGGTAGGGACTCTGTCACTACTTTCAAGTCCCCTTTTAAGAAACTCAAAAAATAGGGCCAGATGCAATGGCTCACACCTGTAATCACAGCATTCTGGGAGGCTGAGGCAGGTGGATCTCTTGAGCTCATGACACCAGTCTCAGCAAGAGCGAGACCTAGTCTCTAAAAACTAGCTGGGCATTGTGGAGGACACCTATAGTCCCAGCTACTTGGGAAGCTGAGGCAAAAGGATCTCTTGAGCCCAAGAATTTGAGGTCACTATGAGCTATGATACCACAGCACTCTCCCAGGGGCAAGAAAGTGAGACTCTGCCTCAAAAAAAAGAAAGAAATTCAAAAAGTAGAGGTTAAATATAAGACCTTACCTTTATTTAAGGGGTAGGAAGATAGTCTCTTTTTTTTTATTCTGCTCTTTCTTAAATTCTACTCAAATTTCAGTTCATTTTGAGCCCAGATTTATTGACTATAATGAAAGCATAGCAGACATTTTTTATCTTCTTTAATTACACAATTTTCTCTTGTGGCATTTAAATGTAACACAGGACAATATTCTTTGTAATTATGTGCCACAGAGATGGTACTGCTGAACCAAGTAAAATACTGAAAAGTTGACTCAGCTTTGGCAAATAAATATTAAAATCTCTGCCAGTTACTTGTAGACATGACATAAAATCAAAAGTTGTAATGATTATCATCAGGTGCTTTTACTATTTCCTATATACTACATTCAAATTTCTACCACTCCTGTTCTTAAACATATAAATTTATTAAATCAAATAAAAAGAAGAAACAGAAATTCAAGAATAAAATAGCATTCAGAGCTAGTCAGTAATAACCTAACGTTTTTGTTTGCCAAATTATAACAATGAAACAATATGGTGTATTGTAGAATTTTGCTTTCATAACTCTTGAGCTATGTGACTTTTAAAAATGTCATTTATGTACAAGATAGCCAGGTCCCATTATGTTAAATGACAGCCTTTAATGAATAAAAATGTAATCTCACTACTAAAAGAAACTATACTCTCCACAAACAGAATGAGAAGTAATAGATTTATTGATTTAGCAAAAAGTCATTAGTTTTTTAATGTACAAAACATTGTATAATTAGAGTGACACTTATAATGAAACCTGGCAGCTCACCTAACCATTTCTGCAAAATGAATTTTATTTATTTATTTTTTTTAGGAAGGAAGAGAGAGAAGTACAAAATGAATTTTAAATTCAACAATCGTAAAGCATAAAGATATGTAAGATAGATCCCAGCTGTCTGGAACTCCTAATTTAGCAGACGGACATGAATAATTAATAGCTAAAATAATTAATAGCTAATTAAATAGCTAGGAGGCAGGAGACTGACTCACTTGAGCCCAGGAGTTGGAGGTTGCTGTGAGCTGTGATGCCACAGCACTCTACCCAGGGGAACAGTTTGAGGCTCTATGTCAAAAATAAATAAATAAATAAATAAAAATAAAAAGATTCTGAGGTCAAAGGCAATGAATCTTACTGACTAAAGGTGGAAAAACATGACCCGGTGGAGGAAATTGTGGCGATTTCATAAATCCCTGGGGCTTACCCATCCACCCTAACCATCACCCCCCTCAGTGCACACACACTTTCACAGACTCCCCCACTTTTCTCAGAAAATTAGATAAAATCAAAGTCAACTACCTACCTCCACCATTTCAGAGTTATTTATCTCCACATCTGGTTTCAAAGAAATAGTTATCCCTACTTTCATTTGAGACTAATTTTTCATCTATTTTCTTGCTTGGATCTCACAGGTGTTCCTTCTACCCTCTCTCTCCCCTCTTGGGCACCAAGCAAACTAACCTGCTTGCAGTTCAGCAAATGTGCAAGCTCTATCCTCTGCAGCCCTCACACCGAATGCTGCAGAACCCAAGATCAACATCCAGGGACTACAGAGTAGTGTGCACCACAGTGCCTGGTTATTTTTTAGAGATGGAGTCCTGCTCTTGCTCAGGCTGGTCTCAAACTCCTGAGCTCAAGCAATCCACCCATCTCAGCCTTCCAACAGGCTAGGATTACAGGTGTGAGCCACCACTCCCAGACACATCTGACTCTCCTGCTCCGGTCTCTTACCTGCCAACAGCAGGCTCGTTACTGATCACACTCTCCCCCCCTCCCCCCCCCCCCCCCGGCCCCCTCCCCCCCACAAACGGGCCCCTTCTTAACCCCCCCCCCCCCCCCGTGTTTAGGAAAGCTTGGTAACCGGTCACTCTTCATCTGCTTTCTGGGGGTCCAAACAGCTAACAGACTGTCCTCTGCTGCCCCCAGAGGGCCAGGTTTGCTCTTCTCTGGCCAAAATGCAGTATTTTCTTTTAAGATGTTGGCAAGAATTCTCTAAAATCAGAGTACCAAATTCAGAGACCAAATTCTTGGTCTGATTTATTGATAATTTTACCCCTTGGAGGACAAAATTTTAATCACAAATAGACTAAAAAACAATTCACCTTCTGTTTCTACAACTTCACTGAGTTGGGGGCTTAGAGACACAAACTGCACCTAAAGCTTCTTTGTAGAGTTCAAACATCAGACCTGGATGAGGGGCCCCCCGTGGGGCTCGGAGATCTTGGAATTCACTCCCACATGGAACACAAGGTGAACTGAAGGATCAGTAATAAAAAATGTCTTTATTTGGACTTTACGTATTTTTTAAAAAATCAGCAGGTTAACACATAAAAGGGCAAATATTGCATGATTCCACATCGGCAAGATACCTAAATAAGCAAATTCATAGAGACACAAAGTAGAGCAGAGGTTACCAGGGAGTAGGTGAGGAGGGGAGAGACTGATTACTTAATAGGTACAGAGGTTCTGTTTGGAGTGATGAAAAAGCTCTGGAAATAATGGTGGCAGTTACACAACATGGTGAATGTACTTAATGCCTCTTAAAAATGATTAAAACATGAGGCAGCGCCTGTGGCTCAGTGGGTGGGTAGCTCAGTAGCTCAGTCCCAGCTACTAGGGAGGCTAAGGCAAGAGAATCGCCTAAGCCCAGGAGCTGAAGGTTGCTGTGAGCTGTGATGCCACAGCACTCTACCAAAGGCAACAAAGTGAGACTCTGTCTCTAAAAAAAAAAAAAAAAAATGATTAAAATATCATAATTAAAATGATTTAAAGAAAAAAACCTACAGTTTTTACCGTGATCTATGCTTGATCCAGCACTACCCTGTTCCCTAACCCGATGCTGTGGGGCTCCCTCCTCACTCTGTTTTCCAGGATTTCTGGCCTCCTTGCTCTTCCTCAACAAATAAACTGGGAACTAAAATAAAATCCTAAGTCTCCCCTAAGCAGCTGGCTGACTGGAAACCCCTCTTGGCCAAGAGGATCCCTAAACCTGAATTGTTATCCATGAGAAAGCGGATCAGACCAGCCTGACCATGCCCTCTCAACTTAGAGACGTCCTCTGTGACTCACTGACAGGCCTAAGGCTATGCAAGACTGCCCCGCAAATCCCAATATACATAACAAACCGCTTGAGTCTGTCAAGTACTTTGTCTCTAATTAACAGACCCTTTATCTTAAGCATTTCTTTTCACTGACTCCTGGTCTTTAGATAAAGCCTTACTCTTTCAACAAACTGTCAGCTAAAGAATCTTTAAACCCAACTATTACCCGTAAGCCACCTCAATTCCAGATGTCTCACCTTTTGGGGCCAAACCAACGTATATATTAATTTATGACCTCACCTGTAATTTCTGTCTCCCTAAATTGTATAAAATGAGACTGGAACCCCACCACCGTGAGTCCACTCGCTCAAGGCTTCTTCAAATTTGGTTCAAAATAAAACTTCTTAAATTATTTTACTGAGGGCTCCTCAAATTTGGTTCAAAATAAAACTTCTTAAATTATTTTACTGAGTAGGGCTTCCCTTCCATCAACAAAACCAACACACATGCATCGTGGGGAGTTTGTGCTAGACACTCCCTCTGCCTAGAAATCCAGCTTATCACCCCCACTCCACAGTAGCTAGTACCCTCCTTATTCTGGTTTCTACTTAAATATCTTCTCTAAGACCCTCCCTGACTATTTGGATAAGTCTGGGTTCAACCAGATAAACAGAAGCAAACTGGGCACCTGTGCTCAATGGTTAGAGCTCCAGCCCCATGCACCAGGGCTGGCAGGTTTGAACTCTGATTGGGCCTGCCAAAAAAAAAAAAAAAAAAAAAGACAAACAGAGGCAGTAAGAGATACATATTTAGAGATTTACTGCAAGGAATTGGCTTACATGATTGTGGGAGCTAGCTGGGCAAGTCTAGAATCCAGACAGCAGTCTGTCAGAAGGGCAGGCTGGAACTCCTGCACACAGGCTGAAGCTGCTGTCCATAGCTGAAATCTCTTCTTCAGGCAAGCCTCAGCTCTGCTCTTAAACTCTAATTAACAGATAAAGGGTCTGTTAATTAGAGATTGAATCAGGCCCACCTAAATTCCCCGTCCTTAGAACGCCCTCATCATGCAGTTAAGTCACATCTACAGAATACTCCACCACAACGCCCAGATTAGCGTCTGATTGAATAGCTGGGGGTGGCCGCTCAGAGAAGCTGACGATGAAACTGAACATCACACTGCTATACCTAAAACAGAGTTCCTTCTAACTCCCTGCCCCTTACCTGGATTGATTTTCTTCCTACTGCTGCAGAGGAAATGGCCTGGGGGAAATAATGGCAGAAATATTTTCTGTCTTCCCAACTTTAGGGGAACTAAAACCTGCATCCCTGCCTCAGCCCAGTGGTCAGGAGGGGCAGGGGATGATTTCTGTTCTTTGTGCCACAGGAGATAGCTCAAGGAAGCCGTCTGGGTGGTGGTCACAAGATCTTAGCTGAAGATGGGATGAGCGAGGTCATGAGATCCTCTTAGCCTAAAATGGGATTAATCTGGGTGAATGTCACAAGACTGTGGCAGAGGCCATGAGATTGTTTTGGCCTAAGATGGGATTATGGGATCAGAACCTTTAAAAGCTCTGTGCTTCCGCTCGGAAGCAGGAATTTGGTTTTTGAGACTGTTGGCCATTTTCCTCCTTTGCGAGCAAAGTGGTAAACTTCTCTTGATTCTCCTCAAACCACTTGTCCCTTTTTTTCTGACGCGGCTTCTGGGGAAGGGCTAAACTTTCGATAACACTTCCGTCATGTTTACATATTTATTTCTTTAATTATACATTAGCCTTCTCGCATACTAGAATGTAAGGCTCATTAGGGAAAGAATTAGGTCTCTTGGTTTTGTTTAACTATTATTTATTCAAGTAACCCCACTTTTGTACATGGTGTTCATTTCCCCTGTTTTGTTATTAAGATCAATGTTAATAGGAAGATGCTTATGTATACATCTTGAATCAGTTTTCCAATTTTTAATTTTTTTTTTTTGAGACAGTCTCACTTTGTTGCTCTCAGTAGAGTGCCTGGCATCATAGCTCACAGTAACCTCAAACTCTTGGGCTCAAGCGAGCCTCTCGCCTCACTTTTTCTTTTCTTCCTTTTTTTTTAGTAGAGACAGGGGTCTCGCTCTTGCTCAGGCTGGTCTCAAACTCAGTGAGCTCAAGGGATCCACCCACTTCACCCTCCCAGAGTGCTATGACTACAGGCATGAGCCACCTCGCCCAGCTTAATTTTTAATTTTTAAAAGCAATTTTGGCTTTATCATTCTAGTTTTTCTGTTAATTTTTTCTGTCAGACTTAAAAGAAATTTGCCCTTTTTTTGTTTGTTGGTTGGTTTTTGAGACAGAGTCTCACAATGTCATAGCTCACAGCAACCTCAAACTCTTTTAAGTGATTCTCTTGCCTCAGCCTCCCAAGTAGCTGGGACTACAGGCGCCCGCCACAAGGCCCGGCTATTTTTTTGCTGCAGTTGTCATTGTTGCTTTAGCTGGCCCAGGCCGGATTCAAACCCACCAGCCTCAGTCTATGTGGCCAGCACCCTACCCACTGAGCTACAGGAGCGCATCTCTGGAATCTGGAAGCCCTAAATCAAGATGGCACCAGGTTGGTTCCTTCTGAGGGCAATGAGGGAAGGATCTACTGCAGGCCTCCTTCCTCAGCTCCTATTCCTATGTCTCCTCTCTACACATATCTCCGTGTTCAGATTTTCCATTGTAAAAAAAGATAAATCAGGGTTGCACTTGTGGCTCAGTGAGTAGGGCACTGGCCCCATATACTGGTGAGAGTGGTGAGTTCAAACCTGGCCCCGGCCAAATTGCAACAATATAATAGCCAGGCATTGTGGTAGGTGCCTGTAGTCCCAGCTACTTGAGAGGCTGAGGCAAAAGAATTGCCTAAGTCCAAGAGGTGGAGGTTGCTGTGAGCTGTGACACCATGGCACTCTACCAAAGGTAACAAAGTAAAACGCTGTCTCAAAAAAAAAAAAAAAAGATAAATCCTATTGAAATAAAGCCCACCATAAATGACTTCATTCTAACTCGATTACCTCTGTCAGGCCTCATTCTGAGGTACTGGGAGTCAGGACTTCAATTTCTATAAGTTGTTTGTTAAAATGCATTTTTAAGCTGGGCATGGTGTCTCATACAGTAATCCCAGCACATTAGGAGGCCAAAGCAGGAGGACTACTTTAGGCCAGATGTTCGAGATTAGCCTGGGCAATATAGCAAGACTCTATCATTGCCAAAAATTAGAAAAAGTAACAAGGTGTGGTAGCATGCACTTGTAGTCCCAGCTACCCAGTGGGCTGAGACAGGAGGATCACTGGAACCCAGAAGTTGAGGTTACAATGAGCTATGATCACACCACTGGGCTCTAGCCTGAGCAATAGAGCAAAACCCCATCTCTCAAATTAAAGTTTTTTTAAAAAAATACACATTTAATCTTTAAAAATGTTAAAGATCAAAACAGAACATGCACGACATTTTTGTAAAAATCAAACAA